ATTCCACGATTCCGAAGTACCCTTTTTCCCCTGACTTTTTTATAACATTTTGGTTTTGATGGCTCCCACCACAAAGTGAAATAATATACGGTAAGAGTACATGACACAACATATTATTGTGTAAGCTACCGTGAAATGTTAAATTAAGTGTGCTGTGAGGAAATGCGTCAGGTCACCGCACCAAACCCTGGTAGCACTGTAGGACGGTGCAAAGCATAAACCTAAATAGCAGTAGACAGCATGAACAAATTGTAACCTCAAAATAACTGCACAGGGCAACTTTTCAAAAGTAATGAATCTGGAGGTGGCATCAACTTTGTTATTAGTTCTCATCAGTCAAAGGTGGGGCTGTAACCTTACCCACGTATCAGCAACAGCTTACGGGAATTATTCTGTCATTTTCTTAGACGGCACGGTGCAAACATTAAGCATGATAAAACTTTTCATTCTACCTGCAAGGAAAATTGTTGATGGGGTACCCTGAAACAGTGTCCAGGCTCCCAGTCAGGCAGAGGGACCATGGCAGAGCCTGTGCTCTGGAGAGGAGCAGCCCAGATGTTACCAGGAACCAGAGCATGGTCCCAATTTCTTGTTGAAGCAAACAGGACATAATGTTACGGCCGTGACCAAGTCCTCTACAGCATCCGCACCCCAGCACGGGTACCCTGCGGCAGGGGCCCACCCGTGTCCCAAACGCCATGCAGACAGACGGCTGCCGAGCAGACCGACTCCCGCACACAAACCACTCTGCAGCGTTGCTCAAGTCTCTGTGCAGTTCAGCTCCTCGCCTGTTGAATGGGAATAACAAGCATTTAGAGAATAAATTCAAGTTTTAATTACACTGGTTGTATGGGAACGAGACTATCCAAAGTAGTAACTAAATGCTACTAGTAACTAAATCCTCGTAATCTAGTTTGCCTCTCTTGATATAACGAGGACCAAAATCCAGCTTGCAACTCACCTTGCATAGTTCTGACCCAGGAACGGGGACGGGGGAGCGATAGGAACGGTATCCACTGTGGTGTGTGTCTTTCACAGAGAAACGGCAACTCTTATGATGCTGGTTACAGCCCACAAAGCTGTAACTGAACATTAAACATAATAAAAAACTCACAAAGAAGTAAGATGGCAATTAATTTTACTACTTAGGTAACTTGCCGAGCAATCAACTATTTGCACAACACTCGGTCGTGATTCCCTAGCCTGTGCAAACATAAAACAAACACACCGAGACGCTCTCATTAAGACCTAACAGAAAGCAGTAACATATACAAAGGCTCGTTACCGCTCATTACAAATGCTTTGAGTTTAAGGAGTGAGGCAGCAGTTAAGGGCAACCATCAGAGGTCCCATCAGCTCAGGGCGTATTTAAAATACAGTATGAGGCCAGGGGAACAGGTGCAAGCGCAAGCCCTGCTGCACTGCAACCTAATCCCACTGCCGCCGTGTCCCCGTGCCAGGCAGGAGGGACAGACGGTGCGGGGAGATGCCGAGCCGCCGTGCCGGGACGTGCAGGGGCAAGCGGTTGCCCAGCCCGGTGGGAACGCTCCTCCATCACCCACCTGCCACCCCGGCTTCACTTGATGCCCATCATAGCAAGACCTGAAAGTCTAGCCTCAAGGTTTTCGTTGGGCTCCAATGCTCTTTCTCAAATAGAGAGTTCCTTCCAGTTACAGTTTTAATTAATTTAGAATGAATTATCTGGGTCTCTTAATTTCCCAGCTTATTTTGAAAAAGTCCAATTAATGCTGAGCTAAGTAGCTCTGAAGCTCCTCAGTTCTCATCTACCCTGGAGGGATCCGGTTAAAATGAGACACTAATCAAAATGTGAAACCACAGTCATTTGAAAAGCCATTGTGCAACAGATCTATGGCTACATATAAACCACACAACTGCTAAACAGATCACGCAGTACTTGGAAACCTAAAGCCTAAAATGCCCTCACTCAAGATGCAACCTCCTCTGTCAACCGTGGGCATGTTCTGAGCTTACAGCAAACAATAAAAGTCACATTTCCTTTTACAACTAAAACCATGGCGTAGAATGAAACCTGTGTAAATTAGACAATAAGGTATGATAAGGGTGTATGATAACGCAGTCCAGAAGCTCTGCTGACTGAAGGACCTCAGAGCCACCAGAGGCAGAGGCTGGTAAAGCTGCACCAGGCAGAACTGCAGAAATCTCTGTTCTGCTTCCAGAGCCATGGAGGCATGCTGGAAATCACTTCAAGGGTCTCCACAACCATGGCACATTTTAATCTGGAATCCTTGTGATCAACTTACAAATTTTTTTTCTGTATTAGCTTTCTCAAATATTTAGAGAGCATAATAAGGTCTCTCTCATGCACATGTTCCTCACTAGATAAAGTCTTTTTCTTGATTTCAACTTAGTTGCTTGAAAAATCCTAACTCCTTTATTCCAGCTCTGAAAGTATTTTGTCTAGCTGGAGAAAAGAAACAGGTATTAAATCATTGTTGAATGGGAGACTAAATTAAAAACTGAGACAGGTCAAAATTTCAGATGAGGGTTTGTTTTTAATGATCTGTAACTCTAATGTAGTTCAATTAATCTTCTGGAGTTCTGCAGAAAATTTCCCCCCTTCTTTCCCACCAGTCAAAGAAATTTTTCCTAACCAAAGCAGCAGGATCACTGAGGACTTGGTCTAAGCACAGGAAGGTAATACTGTTTCAGAGCGATTTCAATTTTTTTATTATTATTATTTAATCTTATTGCCCTTGCAATGAAAACTCTAAATTTCCCACTCACTTCGAAGTTGAACTGCAGCAGCAGAGAAAGGGATTAGAAACACCCGAGTTTTAGGACTGGCACGCTTCTTTGGAGAAATGCCCCCAGGGGTCACTGGTCCCAGTGCATCACCAAGGACCAGTAAAGGGGGTGGTAGCAGACTGGTCCCAAGTGGTGCCCAAGAGAGCCGGGGAGACATCGCGACCAGCACTGGTTGCTGCCGGCCCTCTCGGTCCCCAACCTGCTGATGTGGGGAGGGCCTCTCAAACACCGCACCCACGCTTCTGGGTCTGCCCAGAACAACACCGCAAAAAATGAAAACCCAAAGGCCCCTTTAGGGAAGCTGCCGCACAACCAGTGCCTTTCTCGTAGGTATAGTGCTCTGTGAGCTGCCAAGTTCCTCTCCCTCTCTCATTTTGTGGGAAAGAAGATCTCCTTTAGACTAAAAATTGAACAGGGAATCTCACAAGAGTGGATTTTGTCCTATGGTTTGGTGTCCTCCTGCCCTTCCCACCTGTGAAACGAACAGAAAAATGGTAAGATCTTTCGATTTCCATTTGTGCATTACTTGGGAATTGAAACGCAAACATGTCTTGTCCTGCAAAACCAAGAAAAACAAAGGGTTGAGTGTCTCTGTCAGGCATAAGGAAAGAGAAATAAAGATCAGTGAGCACAGCAGAAGTACAGTCGCGTTTCTGCCCGGCCGTAGCGGGTAGGTACGGTGCCGCGGTTTTCACGCTAAAGCTTTCCCTGACAGCCACCGCTCCGCAGGGGCTGAGGCACCGCGGCACTGCCGGAGAAGGGCTGAAGTACCAACAGTCCGGTTACAGCTGGTAAATGTCTTTCTAAACATAACGTTACAAGTCAAAAGGACAAAGCACCGAGAAACAGCAGTTTTCACCCATCAGAAGCAAACTACCTGAGCTCGGAGTGGAGGCTCGAGAGAATGAGGGTAGACTTATCTGAAGCAGTTCACACAGCCCTGAAGAAGACTGAAGACATTAAACTACCAACGTTTGCTCTTCCCAAGACTCTCCGTGTGACAGTGTATGGTGCCAGCAGTGCACAGAAACAATGTGCATTTCTACGGGCTGCCACTTGTGCCCCCAAAATTAAACTTTTTTTTTTTTTTAAATCACTTATAATTACCTTATAAGTAACTGACATGTGGCAGGCTTGTCCAGGGCTTATGTACCTTTATTTACTAAGTACTCAACATATACTATTCAGCTGAAATTTGCGTACTAATACATAGCTAATAACATGCAAATAATTAAAGGAAAACCCTCATGTTCTCTCCATGTACTCCTATTTTGTGGGTTTTGCCTCTTAAATTCACTTCTCCTGACCCTTTTCCTGGCCAGCTGGGTTTCCCCTTCCACTCCTGAGCGTTAATATTTTATTGTAGCGTTTCCCTGAGCTGTCTGTCTGACAGGGAGCGGGTTCTCCAAGTCCCAGGTCCCTGCCATGGCCAGGTGTTTCTTCACTCAGAGGACACCCGGGACTACCCTTTGAGCTCGGAACAGCCGCCTCTCTCCATGCCTTTTAACAAAATATAGTACCTTATAGATATTTTTTGCCCTGTAGCAGCTCCCTGAGTGAGGCTCAGCGGAGGAAGTAACAAAGAAGTTAGTCCCAGTTATTCGAATTCAACACCACACACTATCACAATGTCCTTCAGGAGTTTTGCTGACCTTTGTGCGCTGGCCACCAGCCCAAACCTCAAAGCAGCGTAATTAAAAGGTGACACCAACCTTTAGGGAAGCCAAGCCAACCCAAGGATCACAGGCTCAGGGGTTGGCTCCGGCAGAGAAAAGCTTTTGTGTAAGTTCCTCAGTGAGCCTGGGCAAGTGCCGAACATCGCAGCGTGGGTTCATTACACGCCAGGGAACCAAAGGATGGCATGGTGCAAGTCACGTTACGCTCTCAAAAAGCCCTCTGAGACTCATCAGCCGGTGAGTTACTTGTTGATGAAATACAGGCAGAAGAACTAAGAACTACATTTAGTAAAGAAATGCTAATCTTTGCTCACAGACTCACCAGTTGTTATTACGTACACGCACAGAAGGAAAGGGCATCAAATAGGTTACACGCTGTAAAATTGCTTTCTAAGTTCAACCTCATATGATATCAAGCCTAATTGTTTTCTGGCATGTGCCTTTTTACATACACTTCTCTTCCTATATGAAAAAATAATTAAGGATTCAGGAAAGCAGTGGGACCTTATTACAGCACTTCTTCCTTCTCTGTTACAGGAATGACCTGCCAAGCTCGAAGTTCATACATTACGAGTGAGATTCTGTGGGGTTACCGTTTCACCCCAGTCCTCACTCTGGAGGATGGATTTTATGAAGTTGACTACAACAGTTTTCATGAAACGTATGAGACCAACACACCAGTTTACAGTGCCAAAGAGCTGGCAGAGATGGCCAGCCGAGCAGAACTGCCCCTGACGTGGTCTGTTTCCAGCAAACTGGACCAGCATGCTGAGCTGGAAACCGAAGAGGAAGAAAAGAATCAGGAAGACCAAAATGAAAGAAACGGTGATGTGGCCAACTTGGAGAATGAATCCAAAGTGTAGAACCACCAGAAGCATAAGGGCCACACCACCTCCTTTATCTTCTCCCTCTTTACTCCCCTTTTCTTTCTCCAACACGCCTCTTTTTTTTTTCCTTCCCTTCCTTGTTATTCTTAATACCAGGAAAATAAATACTTAAGATGCGAAATATCTACCTGCCCAATTTAAACTCAAGAGATTCACAGACTAAGCAAAGGCGTGGGTTAAAGCTGCAATACCCATTATCGATGGTGGAATCTCCATCCCCACCCCTGGTATTGACTCCTGGCTTCCTCAGCACCTCTCTGAGTTCAGACCTCCAGGTTTATTCACATCAACAACAAGAAAACCCCCAAAGCAATGGGAACATATACAAGGTATTTGAAATGAAAGACTAATTAATGTTCATCAAAGTAATGGGCCTTGGTTTCAGTTTTTATGTATTTCAGGACAGTTTCACAAACTGGGTGACAAGCCTGTATGAAATGGGCCTTGCAGCTTTAAGACAAAGGTGAGCAGAGGGATCTGCAATCCAACACAATACTGTACATATGCCTTATGTAATTACTTTCTCTTTACATTTAGTAATAAACGCCGCATGTACAAAAGTACTGTAGTAAAGGACTTCTAAATAATGTACACAGATGTGTAATTAATGTAGGTTTAGAAACAGTTCTAGAAATACTGGGATGCAAAAACTAACTACCCATCAAGTAGGCATTTCTCTTCAAATATTTGGAGTGTAATATTGATTTTTTTTTTCCCCTGTATCTATGGCTCTTCTAGTGCATGACATTTTCTTCAGTGTACCAGACTGGCAGCTATTTAGAGTACCTCACTGTTTGCCAAACAGATTGTTTCACCCGCTCTAAAAAGCTGTAAGTCTGGGAGAGGGCAGGGTAGATAAGTTGTACCATAATTACTGATATACTGTGAAAATGTTTACAAATAAGGCAAACCACTCCTGGTTATTTTTTTGGTGGTTCAACCTAAAATTTAGGCTACGGCAAACTCATGGCAAACCAGAAATTCCTGCATACTCTTAATATAGCAAGCATGTTTCATGTGGAGGTATTATCCTTTATGTGCAATATCTGGGGAAACTTCTCCCTTCTCCCCACCCGAACCGTGGGATTTCAGCGGAGTAGTTTGCTACACAAACAGCACAAGCCATTGAAAACCCAGTGTTGCACCTCAGCAAGTTGATTTTAGCTACTCAGCTGGGTGAGAAACAGCTGAATTTCATCTAAAGCTGGAATCAATGAAATTCATTTGTTGACAGCAACGGTGCTTGGCCAGTCCGGCAGAGTCACGGACGGTGCAACATCCCTGGGTGTACGCTTCAACAGGGTTTCTCAGCTGAACACACTGTTCCTGCCACCCGGGCTCAGGAAAGTGGTTCCCTAATGACCTTTTTCACCTTAGGTTAGCTCCTTGGCTGTGGTTAAATCAGTGTAAATCCTGTAGGTTCCCACTTGACAACCTTAAAATTGAGCGGGCAGTGATAATTCACATAGCTTACCCGGCAACAGCCACGCGAGTAGGTGAGCGGACTTGTTGGGTCACGGTTTCATGGACACGTTCCCCAAGGGGCTACTCACACGGTGCGGCATTGCCCGGGGCTAAGGACCGCTCCGTCAGGCCCAGCGTGCGTAAAATACTCCCTGTTGAAAAAAAAAGCATTGCTTTTGGTGGGTTTTCGCTCAGGCCCATGAAGAACAGCATTTCCGTCAGTGAAGGAGAAGAAGCTGCAGCCTTAATTTTGTTTTGTTTGGTATTTTTTATACCTGCCTACTCCGAAAAGAAAGAATACACTGAAGAGAAGTTGAAGCATTTTTGAACAGAAACATTTACGTTAAAATAGAAGAGGAAAAAAAAAAAAATAACCTCAGGGGAAACTTAGTGGGCAGGTGGAAATTTTGCACTGTGATATAGATTTCACGTTAAATTCACACCTATTTTCCATTGTTTTTTGCTGAAACAGCTGCCCGTTGCTAATTTTCACAGTGTGGCTAATTGGGAGGGGGGGTTCTGCAGGTCCTTTAGCCGTGCTTCAGGCTGAGGCGGGCAGAGTAAGGTGTGGGGAAAGGGTCGCACCCCAGGGACTGGTAGATCAGGCTGGACGGAAAGAGGGTTTTTTGTTTCAGCTCTGAACATTTTCCCTAAAAGGCTTTCACGAAGCAGCATGATGTAAGGACCATTGCAGCACACGGATTTTTTTGTTCCCTCCATCCAGGACGGCTGACGCCGTCAATTTGGTAAAGGTTATTTACACTTAACTTCTGTGAGATATAGCACTCATTTGGCTACAGACATTTCAAAGCTCATTCTTCTGCCCCAGCATCAGCAGCTGCCACGTTCATCCATCACAACCCACCCGTAAGGCTACCCGTGAGGGGTACGGGGTGTTTTTAAGGAAGGATGGCTCCACAGCTCCGCTGGAAGACCGAAGCCTCGTAGCAGAGGAGCCAGGGGTAGCAGGGCATCGGTAGCGATGAGCCACCCACGCGCGTCAGTCCTAGTGAAAGGTGCATGAGCTGAAAGCAAAGCATTCCTCTGAGGATAAACCTGCTTTTTGCTCTTGTAATTTACTGGGCCACTCTATAATTCATTGCTGCAGTTGAACAAAAAGTTTGCGTTAATTAGAACAGCAGCTCAGGGCCCTAATGAAACCTTTTTTGTGTCCTTTAGCACAAAAAAATAGACTTTCCGCCACTGGGGTATGCGCATGTGTAAGCTATATTTTTGTGAATAGGGCACTTAAAGCTTAAGGTGTGTGTGTGTTCGTCTCTTTCTCTCTCTCTCTCTCTCTCTGTATTTTATTGTCTTTGGTATCAATGTAGTACGGACTGTAAAGTTTATGAAATCTCATTTTTGTAACATAAGCCTAAAAAAAAAAAATAGAAGCCTCCAAAGCTTTCAACGGGGAAGCTTCACATAAACTTTGTACTTGAATGTCCCTATCAAACACCTCTATTTTTCTACAACGATTGATTAAGCAGTTTAACAATGTATTTTGTGTCAACGATTTCAACTGAACTGGTAAAAAGACAATTAAGAATTGAATGCTGTTAATTAACAATGGATTTTCAAGCCGTATATACTGAGTGGTGTTTTCATTACCAGTAGATAACTTAACCTGAGAACTTCATCTCCTAATCCTAAACAATATACCATGAAATATCAGTGCCCTATGGGAATACTTTTGGCAAATCACATTTAAGGAACATGAATAATGCAACATTTTAATATAGTTGACTACGTAATTAACCAAGACCCATTACATCTCTACAGACTTCACCAATATATTTTTCTCACAGTATCTTCTGATTTCCAGGAGCAAAAGAATTTCCAGAGATAAATGGGAGCTCTCAGGAATCTACTGCAGCTCTCAATTCCCTCTTCAATGAACAGAAATGCCGCAGAGGTGCTTTGTACAGACTTCACGCACAGTGTGGCACAGTCCCCTCCGGTTCCTTCTCACTTTTTTTTTTTTGGAATAACAAACTAATTGTTTCTCCCCCACCCAAGTTTCCAAACCAGATCTTTCAGGTGTTGATAACAGGCACAGACATACTGTTTTTAATCATAGAATCATTTAGGTTGGAAAGGACCTTTTAAGATCTTTTTAATGGAGCAACGCAAATTTATACTGGGTAAGAATTTGACCTTCAGCAAATATTTCAAGGGCAGGCTTATTATTTAGCAATAAATACTATCTTACCAGCATTAAAATACATTTCAGAAATTATTCCATCCAAAAATGCAAACGCTCTCTTAGATGTATATAGCTGTTATGAGCTAGATCCTTGCCCTACAAAACCACAGTCATTGGTATTGATGTGGGCCATCGGCATTGACGTGAGCCGTCCCAACAAATTTGTCTTCTCTGATCAAACCTCAACGTCTACGAAGGGCCTTGCTGCAAGCGTGCAGGAACCTGCGGAGAGGATTGCACAGCTCCGAGTTAGAGCTCTGCGCATCCCTTGCGATGTGGAGGAAGGAGGTGATGTGCCAGAGAAGGGTCCCCAGCAGGCACCTGCCGAACCAGGTGGGACAAGGTGCTGGCAAACGCAAGAGGAAAATGCTTGACGGGTGGTTTGAAGTTAACTTCAAGGCAAGCTCTGGTTTTAACTTTGGTGTGTGGAGATGCCCAGATCTGGGGTTGCCCATGTTCCTCTGCTGGAGTTAACAAGCAAATTCAGGCTTTTTAGGCTGTAAATCAGGCCTTATAAAACAAGAACAAAAGTTGGCTTCTCTTCCACTCTTGTTCCTTCAGCTCGGAAACATGCTGTTCAGAAACACAGGCTTCGAAAGCAAGTATAAATTTGGGCTTTGTGCTGTAAATAATTCTTAAAGACAAGACCTGAAAGCTGTTATTTATTATTCATATTAAATAATGCTCTGTTATGTTTCCTAAGTGAATTTTAAACTTCTAAGATTTGGCTTTTTGGAGGGGAGAGGGGGTGCTGTGTTAGACATCCCAGGGCACACTTCATTTTGTGCATTTAGTTCAAGCCTATTTCTACCAGTTTCCATTTTTTTCAGATCCTCTGGATTTCCAGAAATTACAGTCTAGTGGCAACTTCAGTGTAATGGGGTACTTATTTTACCACACGCCATTCTCCCATTTATTGTCTGTATACTGATGCTCCTGGTGCTCTAACACAGTTTCACACAGATAGCACACAGACGTCATAGCCAAAGATAGCGTCCTAAAGAGACCCGTATATCTTGTTATTTCATCTCAAGTGTGAAATCTGATTTCTATTCTAAGCAAATTCACAAGTATAAACCACAGTACTTCCCTGATCCTCCCTAACTTGTGTGTCATCCACACAGAATAAAAACTTAAGAGTTTCAAATAATACCAGCTGCTTTGAGGTTTTTTTCTCAGAGGGCAGGACTGGGGAGAGGTCTCCCCACTTTTTTTTTACTTTTTTTTTTTTTTTTTATCAAAGGCAGCGGTTCCAAACTCGGAGCTGCAGCTCATGAGCAGTCCTTGAGGAAGCTACGGGAGCCAT